TGCTCACATAAAGCAAAAAAAGCCCTTTTTTTTTATAGAGGTTGCTAGTCAAGTTTTTGTTCAGCTTTCTTCTTCAAATTAAATGATTGAACCGAGACATTTAAAATAGGCAAATGGACCCTTTACTGCATTCATTATTAAAAATAAATGTTCAGAACTAAAATAATGTTGTTCAATAAAATAAATAATGAATCATTTAGGCTATATTTGTCTTCATAATTCACTGAATCAGGTACATTCAATGATTCGATTTATTTTGGTTTTTGTTCACCTAAATGCAAAAGGTCATGTGATTTAATTGAGTTGGATAGAAAAAGTGTAAAAAAAAAACTGTCAAGTATGCAGACAAATTATTTTGTTCAGTTTTCTATTTTAAATGATTTATATTCTATTTTAAATGATGGGACTGCAGTGTCGAAAGACATTTAAAAAGGCCCAATGAACCCTTTTAATGCATATCTATCTATCTATCTATCTATCTATCTAGAGAGAGAGAGAGAGAGAGAGTTGCGCGCACTGATAGGTTTGGGGTGGTTTTGGAAAGCTGTTGGTGACTGTCTGATCAATGTTTCATATTTGACTGCGGTATATTTTTATAGTTTGTTTACAGATGGATCTGTGATGTGCGGCTCAGAGATCAATTTTTACACGAGACCGTTTAATTGCAGTTTATTTTGCGTCGTGCGCAACCTCTCATGCGCCACTGGATTAACGTGAACGTGCGCAGATCTGGGGTTTTCGCATCTCAATATCCCAAAGAAGGTATATATCACAGATTATTTATATCATATATTGTATACTAGATAGTATAATATTATAGCCTACTATTCTATAGTATTACATTTATTATATGTGACACATAACACGATACTCGTGTGTCTAATAGATTGTGCGTAAGAGTGATAATGGATAGTTTAAGGGTTATTTTTTTAGGATGTACGGTTGTTATTCAAAATAATGTTTTATAAAAATGTTGACGTTTCGACCATAATTGTCCAGGAAAAAAATCGCGCATCTGGCAGAGTTTATGGGATAAGTTGTCACAATATGATCCGGCTGTTTTTTGATGCTGATTTGATTTTTCTCTCTCTCTCTCTCTCCACTCAATTCATGAAATTGTTTTGACCAACAAAAGTGGTTGTATAAAATTATACTGTATAAAACAGCAACATACAATATTTTTTTTATAAGCAAGCAAGAGCAAGAGATAAAGAGATTATCAATGTGACAACTTGCCCCAACGTGAAAACTGACCTTGAGAACAGCCTAGCTTCATTACTGAGTGTATTTCAGCGTGGCTTTTATGTTTGGCAGCTTGTTTATCAAAAAAAAAAAAAAAACCTTATGATGATATTGTAATTTTAATTTTGATTAAATGTCCTAATTTTAGAGCTTAGCGTTTGAAAACAGATAACCACTGCTAGAGAAAAGCATGTGTCCAATTGGCGGGTGTTAAAGATGGGGTAAGCGATTTTTCAAAAACCCTTTAGAAAACCGATTTGGGCCGAATAGCAAAACAAACTTGTAGCCAATCAGCAGTAAGGGGCGTAACTACTCAGGATGTGGAGGAGAGCGCGTTCAGTGCAGGGGATGGACATTAGCTGAGCTGAGCGACAGAAAGATAGAGATGGCGGATAAAAAACAAAAGAGGAAAACGTCTGCGGAACAAGGACAACTTGCCCTGGTCTCTGGTACTTAGAAGATGAACAGTGACGTTGAATGTAATGCATTAATTAATGGCGTTTCCACACCTTGGCACATTGTCCTAGAATTGTTATTTATTTATTTATTTTTTCTTATCTATTATTTCTTCTAGTCATGTGTATCCAGCTGTAGGGTTCTCTCTCTGGCCAGTTATGTTTCAGGATTTGGCTGAAGAGTTGTCCGACAGAGTCACAATAGGTAAAGTGAACATCTGAATTTCTTAACTTACAATAGATTCTTTTCCCCTTCATAATAAAAAAGAAACGGCCATTATTATTAGCTCGATCACAATGTATTTGTAGAGTGTGAATAAATCTTGTATGTTATCTGGGACATCTAGTGTCAGGATGAGTAGTTGCACACACTCAAAAATCTTCATATGCGTGACGTTTCATCAGGTATGCATACAAAAACAGCTAAATTATATATATAAATAAATGTAATAATTAAAATTGTGACAAAATATAGCTACTTCAGTAAATTATGGGAAGTGTCATTTTTTTCCTCTATTTTTTTTATTCATTATTCCAAAAACTGCTTGAGTGAAAGTAATATACTCTGTATAAATACAATATTTTTAAGACAAAAAGATGTATTGCATTTCATTATGTTTAGTAATAAAGCGTATTTACCTATGTAATTTACTGTATACCACCTGCTAAACATATCGCCGGTAAACTGTCACTCCGTATAAACATATTGGACAAAACACTATGATGACACTATTAGACACTATTGCTCACTGTGGCTGACTTAAACTGTATGTCTTGAAATGAAATCAAGAGTATGTGTATTCCTCATATCTTTGTTTATTCATAATACTGCAGAGTACATTAGACAGTGGCAAATGTAAATATACCAATGACATTCTAGAGAGATAGAGATTCATGAGAAAAGTATTTCAAGGCTACATGGCATTAGAATTAGAGATTTGCAATATTATTGCTCTATTTTGATATATATATATATATATATAAATAGAGCAACAAAAAAAAAGTCTATTGATATTAACTTATTGTTTATTGAACTGTTGCATAAAATCAATATAACATTTTTAACTATGCTGATTTTTTTTTAAACGGCACTCTTCGTGTAATATTGATTAACTATATGAAATGATATAAATATATACATTCTCTGCCCCCTTATCTTGAATTATGACCTTTCTTAATGCATATTAATAGACTGAATCATGCAGTGAAAGAACGCACGTCTAAATGCTTAGTCGCTTATGCGTGCACTCTGTAGGTGTGTTTTGTTTGGTGTTTGCAATATACTCGATAATGTCATGTCTCACAAGTTCAGTATTTGCGCTAAACCTGCGCAGATTTGGCTTGCTTGAACTTCCCCAAGAAATTAATGAGTGAACATAACTTACGAAAAGTAACCCGCCAAATTGGATAGTGATTTGACAGCGTTACCCGCCACAGCTGATTTTTACCCGCATTTGGCGGGTGTTAAAGGTGGGGTAAGCGATTTTTCAAAAACCCTTTAGAAAACCGATTCAGGCCGAATAGCAAAACAAACTTGTAGCCAATCAGCAGTAAGGGGCGTAACTACTCAGGATGTGGAGGAGAGCGCGTTCAGTGCAGGGGACGGACTCAAACCCTGGTTGCAAGCCGCTGCTACATTGTTTTAAGTGAGACAGACAACTAGATGAATAGATAGACAACTATGGACAGTGGTTGCTAGGGCAATGACAAGTAAAATAGATAAAGAACATACA